ACCCGCCCTAATAGTTATATAACATATATGTTGAAATTAGAATTGATATGGTAAAGTAATTTAGCCCTGTTTTTTTATGGGAGTCCTGCCTCTGTCTAGCCGAATTCCATTTTTCCAACGCTGAAGTGGCATGCACAATCGTACATATGTATGTCTATTTGTTGGACACCATGGGAATTCGGCACATTGTTTTCGCGAAATTAATAAATTAGCAAGTGCGTTAAAGGCTGAGGTTTTTGGCTTATACAAAGTGGAATTTCGTTACTAAATAAAAGAAAAAATCTTTGAAATAAGAGAATAGTGCGAAGTGTTTAAAAATGCCTAAAGCTAAAAGAAATTTGTCAAGACAAGCGGCCCGTAATCAGAGAATAGTAGCAGCGGCTCAAATAGAAACGATGCCTGCAATCGGAACTAGATCTGCGTTTATTTATCGACCTCAAATCAATTATATATGTAGGTGGTTTTTACAATAAAAGTCTATCTACACATATCAGTGCCGTACCTATCAGTGTCAGTGAAAAATATAATATCGTTGCCCCAGTCCCATATAGAGTAGTTCAGACCGTGCGGCACAATGCCGTTTTTTACCGTCAGTGCTGCTTCAGTGTTCGTTCCGAAATTTTTTTATACACTCTAAATAGTGTATGTAAAACTGCTTCTGAAAAGTGTTTATTTTCAAACAAAATCTGTGTAAGTATACGCATAAGATGTTCAAGACTGGATGTTTGAACATGAGATGTTTAAAATACACACACGAAATGTTTATAATTGCAGACGTTTTTAACGCAAAAATACAGTCCCTTTAAAAAATAAAAACTAAGTACATTTCGACTGCTGAGTGGAAGATCGACCTATCTCGGCAGCCACTTCGAAAACGCCCTATCTCAAAAAACTTTTCAAGAATGCCCTATTTCAGAATTTCATTGAAAAACAATCTATCTCAGAATTTGATTAACGAAGGCCCTATTTCAGAATTCGATTAAAAATTGCCCTATCTCACTTCAAAATATATTGAAAATGTGCTGATATAGGGCGTTTTTGAATCGGCAGCTGAGATAGGGCGTTTTTGAAACGAATTCTGAAATAGGGCGTTCTTCTGCCAATAAATTGGCATGACGCCAGAAATAACTAGAACCACGTCCGCGGACACTGTACGGTATGCAGAAGCAATGCGTAGTTCCCCTCTGCGCTGGACCGAAGACATTTGAATNCAGGAGCACCGATTGGACCGCTGTCATCAGAAGCTTCCTGCGGCATGGCTTCGGGCCGCCCACGTTTGCCATCAGCCGGCTTAGAGCCGCCGTGCTCTGCGCAGCTTTTTCACATACTCCATGGATGTGTTCCCAGAATGTGAGTTTGCTGTCAAGCTTCACCCCTAGGTATTTTGTAGACCTAGAAGTCGTCACGAGTTGAGGTCCGACCATTATATTTATAATTGTTGGGATCCGTTTCCTGGTGAGGAGCACGATCTCCGTTTTGGCTGTAGCCAATTGCAGACCGTGATCGCTCATCCATCCACTGACGTTGCGCATGATCTGGTTCAGCTTGAGCTGTGCTAGCTGGACATTTCTTGCTGTTATGACGGCGGCCACGTCGTCCGCGAAGGCGACAAGGAAGGCGCTCTCCGGCATTTCCGTGCGCAACAGACTGTCATACGTGGCGTTCCAGAGGTCCGGGCCAAGTACAGACCCCTGTGCCGCTCCGCCGGTTATACGTCTCTTTCTCTGACCTTGTGTTGTGTCGTACAAAAGCCAACAGTCTCTGAGATAGTCCCGGATCATATCCAGCAAGTATGTTGGAACCTTGAATGACCGTTCTAAGGCCTCCAGCATGTCCCATCTTGCCGAGTTGAAGGCGTTCTTGACGTCCAGTGTGATTAGCAACACTATTATCCGCGCCTGGTGGCAGGCTTCTTCGGCCTTATCTACCGCCTCGACTACTTCGCCAATTACGAAGATATTAACATTCATACGAAGATATTAACATTCATACATATACATCTAATATGGGAAGAGTGATTTTCTAATATATGTATTTACATATTACAGCCTTAAAAGGATTTTCTTTTCAAAAATGAAAATGATCACGTTTCCGTGATTACTGGAGTGAGTTGGAATACAAAAAAAAAAAGAAAGCAACAACTTCTTTTAAATGTATACACGTTTGATTTAATCACGTTCTTCAATTTACAAATTCGAGGTATTTCAAAAAGGGGAATATCTTGCGAAGCGGCAGTCTGGCTGGTAGCAGGTCAAAAATATGAGTGGCGGCCTATTGCATACCTACTAGGCAACTTATTCAAAGTATTCAAGATACACAATAGTTTGAGTTTAGTAGTATAAGGGTTACAATAATAGGGAGGTGCCAGACCTGCCGCGCTTCGTCCATTACAGTATTTCAAAAATTATAAAAACAAATTTAAATTTAAGCCTCGCTGAGGTCCATGTCCTCGGCAGAAAATAAAAATTGATTTTCTTTGGTTTGTAAACGTACTATATAAAAGAATTCTTGATGACCTGAATTGTTAATCTAATAAAAAAATGGTTATTTTTCCTTACATTTGGTAACTTTTTCGTCTAATCTTGGTTTGAAAGTTCTTTGAGCGGCGGCAACACTGAGTATAAGTACAGCCGCCATCGATTCGCCAACAGTTAGCGAGTGGCGAAACGAACGAACACAACGAGGTACAACCAAACTCGCTATCGTCTATCAGTGCTAGCTAACTTTGTTGTTGCTTTCACATGCAAAATTCTTCTTTAAGCGACCGGAACTCAAACATAGCGAGGGAGAAATGGCGAATCAATGTTGATTATATAGAAAAACGTTATATGAACAGATTAAAGGAATTGTAATTTTTAATTTTTTAAATTTGTTTGAGCAAAATCGGACTAGTGGTTCTCGAGTTATGTCAAAAAAATACCACCAAAGCTGACAATTTCCCCTACACTGAAAAAAGAGTTTAGTTACGTCAACCAAATATGTTTATATCAACACATGATTTGGTTATAGTTACACTGTTTGGTTATAGTTACCAAATCATGTGTTGAGAGAAATATATTTGGCTGACTTTTTTCTGAGTGTATATGATAGTTATATATATATCTCGATTCCTAGACGTGACCCGGTAGTTTGAACCCTTCCCGATCACTGACCCTTACCATTTGTCTCACAGTGTTATCTTTATGGTGACGTCATTAGTTGTTTAATAAGGTATTAATATTTAAAATATCTAAAAACTGAACTTTAACCTTCTCGAACGTCTTTATTTTTTACTTGCGCCAAATGAAAGAAATGGTTGAAATGAGCATAAAAAGTTCTATTGATCTGCATTTTTCGTTTTTGCATAGCTGAACGGTCGGTATTCTAGATTTGTTCCAGGAAATGACGAATAACTTAAATCAAAAATATTTTTATGTATTGTTTAGTATTTCCATTGAAACACCGAATATATTGCAAATTCGCATAGAATTAATAATACACATTTTACTTCTGATTGTATACTTTTTGTAGTACCATTCTACTACCGTTTTCGCAAAAGATGATCACATTCTTCCCCTTTCTCCTACTTCCAAAATACAAATCTAGATAAAGGAGTGTCAAATATTAGCTGTCACAAATTACACAACCTTGTATTATTGAATCATGATTGTTACCCCTTTATATATTTTATTGTCGTTTCAAATGTGGATTGACTTTTTTTTACTAAATCCGATGAGATTTTTCGTGTAAAAAATATGGGACTCGCTTAGGCATGCAAATTATTGGCTATGCAAGCTCTGTTTTGCTCCATTCAGGCACAAAAATTCGATTGCATTTAGATGTTATTTATTGCACTTTTTACAATAGTCATGTTCTATTCCGGCCCTATTATGATTTGTATGGATATGCGCACTTTCGACTGGACATTTACGAATATCTACTTACATACTACATACCTGCATACATACATATGTATGGATTTATGTATTACTTTTTTGTGTACATACCCACCAAACAATTTGTGTTGCCAGCAATAAGAAAATGTGTCGCCCTCGGAAACAAATTTATTGCCGGTAATATTGCCATCGAATCGATTTCCTATTACCGGTCGCTTTAAAACGTCCGCCGAAGGCAACTCGCCTGGGCGAGTCGTTTTCTTATTACCTGAATAAGTCCTTTTCTTATCGCTTCAGGCGATATTTGGAATAATTTTATTCTTTTTAATACTTCATTTATTTTTTTGTATACCAAATTGCAACTTACAATCGGAATTAATTCATTTTCTCGCTGTGAGGCTTCCTATTTTTTCAATCTTGTCCTTGGGCATAATTTAGATGCTTTTGGCCAATACTATTGACGCCATATTCATATGTTTCGGAATTTTTGAGAACTTTTTTATTCAAAATTGACATGAATGAAGTGATGTTGCCGATTTGTCACCACAGCAATAAATCGGTGAGTCGCCAATTTGTTGCCATTGACGATTGTTGCCTATTTCTCATGTTTTGCATGGTGGGTACATATGTATGTATATACATATGTTTGTAAGTCTACATGTCACCGATCGAACGTAAAATACTACATACATATACATTCATATGTACATACCTATGTATGTATGTATGTATTTTTTTTTATAAATATGTATGTTTTTAATTAAAGCACGACAAACACAATACCTAAACGTACTTTTGCACATAAATGCTATATTTTGGCCAATGCATATACTGCATTCTGTTGAATACACAGTGCGTGCAATTCTGGGCCATTCGCTTGTTATTCTTTAGTCAACGATTTCGGAACCTTCGTTTTTGTTTTTACTACTGTGCAATTTCAGCTGGTTGGCCTTTTGGATGAAATTGGGTAAAACGATTTCCCACTTTTTGCTGCCGCTGCTGAAATGATAACAATTACAATGGAAGAATAAAAAGTCGACGTCTGCAATATTTTGATGACAAAAAATCTATTTGTGCATGTGGGACAAAAAATTACAGTTAGTCTGAAGTTGAACGTGTTGGCGAACGACTCGCTGTGTCCAATCTAAAACAAAAGTGCCGCAAGCTTTTTAATATCCTTTTTTATTGGATTTTTTGAAGTTATAAACGAAAGGGCCCCTCTTTGTGAAAGTTTCAAGCGAGCTTAAGGAGTTCGTAAATGCATAAGTGAGATGATTTGGGTATGGAAAATAAATTAAAGTGTAACGGCTTTGAGGTTTATGATAAAATGTTGTGCTGTTCCCGTTACAGTTTAAAACCTGTGCTTTATTGCAATTTTTGCTGGCCTTATCTGTAACATCACTGGTGTCTAGTCAAGGTATTGAAGGTCCTTCATTGGCAAATGATCCAAGTCAAAATATAGATGAAGACACAATTGATCTAACGCCATCTATAGATCTTTCTTCAGAAAAAACTGAAGATGATCGTGGAGCTGGACAGGTATGAATTGCCATGCTTTCCAAAGGTGAAGTTATTATAATTGAAGGCTTTATTTGATTTTCAGATTGTGGGCCAGTCATTATTTACACCGCTCCTAGGACAGGGTATTTTACCAGGGCCATTGAACATGTTCGGATTAATGTTTCCTGCGCTGAATTCTCTGCTACTTTTGGGCAATCTGTTTCCTGCGCCATCGCTTTTAGGCCAACCGTCACTGTTGGGCTCATCCCAACAAATCGGTGCTTCACAGAATGATGAGTTGCCATCTGCATCAAAGGTGGTTTTAGTGTTGGCTGAAGATCGGAATCCTCATGCTGCTATGAGAGCTGCTAATCAGGAAGCAGCACGTACAATTCGCCAAAATGACATGCTCAGTCAGCTTCTGGATCAAATACGCCAGGCTGATTTCGGCCAAATGCTGTTTGAACAAATGCAGCAGCAGAATCCAGGACAAATGTTGCAACAGATTGTACCGCAAGACATATCACAGTCAGTGGGCCAACTTCTGTCGCAGACATTGCAACAAATTCCAATAGCCTATTCTCCGCTGTCGGGTCTAGGTCAAGCTTCCGGTGAACCTGCAGTAGGTGCAGCAATAGGGCAGACAGAAGGCGAGAGCGTTGCTCCGGCTGCCGATATGCCACCATCGTCTACGTCTGTCTTTCAATTTCCAATTTTCCAATCAGCTATAGACGCCGGATCCCAAATTTTAGGTCAAGCCTTTCAACCACTCAATGCTGATTCGAGTTCTGGGTTCCCGGTTCCAAATATTCAATCGGCTATTGATGCAGGTTCGCAAATGCTTGGACAAGCTTTGCAACAAGCTAACGCAGACGCCACTACCAGTGGATTTCAGTTTCCTAATATTCAATCAGTGATAGATTCTGGTTCGCAAATGCTTAGTCAGAGCGGGGGCTTATTTAATTTGCGCCCGATGCAATCGCTAGATCCACCTATGTCTAGCTCCGACGCCGAACCAGCAGCTTCTCAGGTTTCTGAGGTACGTGTAAAGCCGGAGGCCATTCCAGCAGTTCACAATCCAAGCGAACAAAACATGCGAGCGGCTGAGAATATGGATGACCTGAAAATGATGGCCGGTTTGAAGAAAGCTCTTGTCCACAAGAAATTACCTATATTGTGGTTCCGTATTCCAATTGACTCACGCGAAACGGACCCTGACATTGAGGTGAAACACCAGACAGAGCCTAAACAAAAAAATTGTGATGAATTGAAACTAGAAACTAGGCTACAAGCTTTTCAGCGTCAGGTTATAAGTGAGCTCAAACTTCTTCAGAATATCGAACGTCAGGCTAAAGAAATGCGCTCGGCTTCAAGTGGAGCTACGGATAAAGTATTCAAAGAAAATCATCACACGAGCATTCTGAGTAAGCTTCCGGTACATAAGATAACACGAGCTGATATTGAGAAAGCTTTGAACGACGAATACGTCAAAAGGCTACTGCAAAAGGTGGCAATCGCAAATCGAAAAGGAACTGGAAAAAGTAGATACCAGGAAGCTTTCACGCCTACTGGTGCGAATTTTAAGCGCCAGACTATGACTCCAACACCTACGATGACACCAAGGCCAATGTCAAGAGAAGAAATTGTTCGCCTGATGGCCTACGCATATCGTATGGCAAATGCTAATGGGATACCAATGCTTGAATCGCCCGATATTAAGAAGCCAACAACGGAAACTGACGCGGAATCCAGTCGAGCTTTTGGCGTCAATGAAAAAACAACGGAACATCAATGGGCAACAGACCCAAAGACTCCAAGCCATATGACCACCATGAAACCCATTGATATGCAGTGGGCAGACGATCGAATGCAGATGCCTCAAACACAAAACTTGAAACAAAATCCTACAATGATACACACAGCCAGACAATTGCAAGATAAAATGAACCAAGCAATGGACCGTCAATGGATAGATGAACAGAAAATGGAACAACTGATATCCCCTCAAAAACTTAACATTGAAGATCCCAAGCAACAGCAGACAATGGAACAAATGTCACAGCGCATGCCAGTTGAACGGCAATGGGACCAAACAACTGGCACCCGAAGTTGGATGCAGGAAAATCCTCAAATGCCCATTCAAAGACAATGGATTGACACGCAGACGCAGGGCTTGACAAGTCCTATTACGCGGCAACAGCAGATAACAGCGGCTACTCCTGAGGAGGAGCGAATATGGGCAGGGAAATTTGCAATGCAGCAGCCCTCTATGGTAGTGCAACAACAGCCGATGACAATCCAGCAGCCACAGGTTTCCATGCAACAACCTCCAATGGCTATGCAAGAACAGCCCATGGCAACTCAACAACCTGCAATAGATATTCAACAACAGCGGATGACAATGCAGCAACCACCGGTTTCTATACAACAAACTCCAATGGATGTGGAACAACACCAGATGGTAACTCAACCGCCTACAATGGATATTCAACAAGAGCGAACCCCTATGCAACAACGCCCGATGACAATTCAGCAGCCTCATATAACAATGCAGCAGCCGCAGGTTGCTATGCAACAACAGCCGATGACAATGCAACAACCACAGTTGAAAACGCAGCAACCTCAAGTTGATATGATGATATTACAGCAGATGCCACCGGAGATGCAGCGGCAAATGCAGAACCCGGATACTCTCGCCTCGCCACAAATGCCCGATAATGAGGGAAAGGCGCGTCTCAAAGGTAATCTATACGCCATATTTCACTATAATTTTACTATTTTTTCCATTGATGCATTTGGACCATCAGGGGCTTCAATCTTAGACGAATTTGATCTTTTGGGAATTGACTGGAAACGAGGTGTTAAGGGCAAAGTAAAAACTCACGGTATCTTAAGGCCGACAGTTATTAACTACTATTACAATGCTGGCGGTCGCGCACCCGGCTATGGATATAGTGGCTCAAGCTACCAGCCTAGCTATAGCGGAGGTGCAGGTGCAATTTATGGACCTGCGTCGGGCTACGGAGGAGGTGCATCAAGTTATAGCAGTGGAAGTGCAGCAGGAAGTTATGGTAGTAGTGGCTATGTTGCGCCCACCGGTGGATCGTATAGGATGGCTATTGGAGACGATGAAATCCAAGCAATGCTTAAAGAACACTCACAAATGGTAAGGGAATTAAGTAAAGACCGCTTAAATTAGCGTCGTAGCATTAATTATTCACCATTTTCTTTGTTGTTTGCTTTTGGTTTTAAATCATTTATTATCTGTTTTTAATTGGTATAGAGATACAAATTTAATAAGTAAACCCTGTACTTAACTACTCGTAATAAAAGCGTTGTAGTGAGTACACTTGGGATGTGTTTGAAAATCGCCCTTGTACATATATTGATATTAATACATGCCAGTAGAGTAAGGTGCATGATTATTTCTTAATGTAGGTATTTATAGTTAACATTTAACATTTCGTTACTAATTCCTTCATTCATGCTCATTAAGACTTTGTTTTTGGTTTCTATGCAAATTTCATATCATTAACAGGCGACGCATTTCAGAAAATGATGCCCGAAACATACCCCAACCCCGTTATTACCGATAATGTGCCAACACTAATATTCCAGTCAACGAAATCAGCCACTGACAACAACATGTCTAAACCGATATCAACACAGATGGCTACTTTCTCGAAAGAGGATGAACAAAATTCAACATTAACTGCTTCATATCCAACTACGCATTCTTCAAAAATGTCAAGGTTAGATTGTAAGTTAAGACTTAACAGTGTTTCAGACAAAGATAAAACTTCCGGGGGTGATTATGTACGACATAAACGAAACGCTAACTTTGGTTCTTTACAACCCATCGACGCCAATTCCCTAAAAGAGCTTCGCAAAACATATAAGGATTCTTTGAAGGAGATAACATTAAAACCAGATGAAGATCCCGCGGAGGCTCTCATGCGATACAATGAGGCATCCATTCGACATGCTTTGGAGCAGGCAAATCAAGAACCGATGGAAATAAGTACCGATGAACACGCAGCGCCAGCGGTTGAAACTCAGAACAATGATGCATATTTCAAAGACGCCCAAGTTCAAGTTTTAAATCATGACCTCGCTACAGGCCATGTTGTGTCACAATCACACCTCTATGTACCCGCCCACAACGGCCAACATAAACACTATAAAGTAATCGGGGAGCCGTCCAGCCCCAATCTGAATATTCGCGAACAGGCTATCAAAATACTAACGCTAAAAGATCATACCAAGTCGTTGGATAAGACGGAAATCTTGGCAGCCATTAAGAATTCACATGAAACATCTGTAAGCTCCAAGAAATCAATTGACGCGCCGCAAAATATCATTTTCACTTTACCCGAGAGCGAGCTGAAAACAGTTTTGGAACTTATTTCGCATCAAATGCAAATGTGTTGCGATAAGTGTAGAGATCGGATTATATCTAGTATCAAGGCAAATATCAAAGAAGAGCATTCAGAAGAGGGTGTTCAGAAGAGTAACCATGATTATGCGGCAAAACATTCAAGGGCAGCAAATAGTTTTGAGGATGAATCCAAAAGCGATGACGAGAAATTCAATAAATGGTTGCGTGAAATGGAAGCCAAAGGATATGACTCCAAATATTTGACCAAGTCCCATCACTGGCAGTATTTAAATAGTGGAAAATTGACGTTAGCTTTGGAAAGCAATGAAGGGAAGCAGCAGGTAGATAATAAAATTTCAAAGAAAGCTAACGACCAGCAGTCATTGAAGCGCTATACACATGTAAACTCTTTATTGGATGATGACGACAAGAAAAACACACAAAATAATATGTCCAGTAAAATCAAAGGTAAGGCGTTTGAAAAAAAGGTTCCCGAACTGAATTACTTGACCAAAGAGCATGCTCATGTGGTGAATGATGAGTTGCGCCATTTGAAAGATTCCTCAGAAGAAGGAATATCCAGTCCTTATGCAATGCGTGGTAAATTTAAGAGCATCAAAGTTTCCAGTCGTACTGGTACTTCACCAGGAACTACGCCAGTAAAATTTTGCGCAATGTCCCAGGAACCACATACTGGTAGTACTGTCGACGCAAATAAGGCTAAGGTTGTAGAGTTACTAAGCCTGCTTTACGACTTGAGTCCCAAGACAGAGAGTGTGAATACTAAACCTACACAGTTCTCAGTAATGGTTATGCCTATTGTTGCGACTTCAACTGAGGGTCCAGAGCATTTGACTACCACCAGCAGGGCCCGAACCAAAAGAGGGCGATCCAGACGCAGGCAGAAAACTGAAACTGGAATTGTGACACAGCCAGACAAAAATATGCTGGAAACCGTTAAGCCAATTAAAGTAAATAGTTAAGCTAAACTTAGTCACTTGCATATACAACATACATATAGTTATAAATACAAACACTCATATGCATGTGCAAAGGACAGGACTATAAATATTGCAAATTTGATCTTAAAAAAACAGCGGGCGGTAGAACGTGAGGTTTTAATTAAAGCATTTACCTTTAAGTTGTTCTGATAAATGTATATACATATATTTTAAAACTGACTTTTTGTATTCCAAGTTTGATTAATACTTAAAAATATTCTCATCTTTACAAATTTTATTCATTTGCAAAATTTTTTTATTCATTCTTATCATTTCATGTCCATACGATCAATATCTCCAACGATTATCATATTTCTTCATCTCATAAAATCATTGAAAAACTCGAAACTTAGCTCCAATAAAAATCTACAAACTCCATCTTATGCCATGAGTCCTGATGAAGTGGGATCCATCTTTAGTTTCAGTCCGACTATTTTAGAACCTTTTATGGGAATACAGACTGTGCCTGTATACGAAAGCGACCCTTGGAAGCATAAATCATATGACTTGCATTATCCTCTCTATGAGGGAGGCGGCAGTTATGAGTTGGATCTTAACAATAAACGCTTAAAAAGAAATACGCCCTTCTACACAAACAATATACTCACGCCTGGTATTCTGGATCATTTCCTGAAGATACGTGTGCAGTTCGAAAGAAACTTTCCTCAGCTCTATAAAAGCTTACGTGATCAGCAACTCGCTCTTAATTTGACACGGGTTTCCGTTAAGCCGCCTGTGATACCGAAAGAAGTTGTGTATCCCGCAATGGAGTTGGGTGCTGCCGAGGTGTTACCGTCAGATTTGGGCTACATTCAAACTGATGAGTCCGCTCCTAATAATGAAGATGGTATTGATTATTTCTTATTTGATGATGGCGAATAACTAATAAAAACTATAAGATTGTTGACAGTGGCCGGCGTAAAGTGTGTAATATACAAGCAATAAATATAAAATTACTAGGATTTTGTGTAGATATGTATGTTCTAATTCCTTTTCTTCTTCTTCTTTATTGGCGCTGTAACCGCCTAAGCGATTTGGCCGAGGTCAAACCCAGTCGTTTCTCTTCTGTACCAACTGAGGCCAATCCACGTGGCCTTTCCTCTTCCGCTGTTACCAGCATCACGACCCGCGTTGAATACTTTCAGAGCTGGGCCGTTTCTGCCCATTCGATCGACATGAGCAGGGCTGGCGAACCTAAGGCACGCGTGCCTCTGATGGCACGCAACAAAATAATTCGGGCACGGTATTAATTAAGGACTCAATTTCTAAATTACTAGTAGTAGTATTTACTACCTAATCGACACTATTTATTTTGGTTTAAATTGAAGATCTAAGCAAGATCTAAAGCTTAAAAAATTTAAAAACAGATTTGAATTCAGATGAAAAACCTGACAGATCAAGAGTCACTGAAGTGTTTTCTTTAATAAATCTCTCATTGACAAATTTTCATCGAGGTTTTCTGAATTCAAGGAGTTATCGGAAACACTCAAATTTATTATGTATCCAGATGTGACTTCACTTGATGAACTGAGCTCAAGAACAATATTGAAATCGAATGTTAATAAGCCTTAATAACATTGACAAATGAACTTGTTTAAATTTGCTAATACTAACAGGCAATTTCACGAAAGCAATTTAAGTGAAAAGTGATTTTAAATTATTAAATTTTATATCGAAATCGGCAGAAAATAAACTCGTTTTTAATTTAAATTGCTAATGAGACCGACTGTAAAACTATGGAAACTGGAACATAATTCCAGACACCTTAGATGTCTGTAGAAGCTGTCATCTGCACACAAGGTACACGTATAAATTTAGGCATATATGTAATACTTCTATATTGATAGTAACGTATCTTCACAATGTGTTTTTATTCCGCAATCAAAGGGAGACAGCCTATCAAAAAAATGTTTGCTTGTGTTAGTATAAATGTATATTTGTGAACAGTGTAGCCACGACGTCATGAAAACAGGTATCGCAAAAGAAACAAAAAATTGATCAAATGTATCACAACTTTTTTATTTAAGCATCAAAGTATCAAATTAGAAAGAATCAAAAAAATGCTATTTGGCTTAATACCTTTGCTTTTTATTATTGTCAATAACCGAAGATTATGTAATTCGCATTTATACACATACAGTGCCGCACAAAAGTATTGGCACAGAGAATTTTTTACAATATCTGCAAAGTTTTAGATTCTAGTTTATTTTCGATAATTTTTTATAAAAACATATGCAGTAGAGGTTTACGCCGACAGGTTTTGCGGTGGCGGCGCGTATGGAAATGCCAGTTAGATTCCAAAGAGCCATGAGGCTATTAATCTTATCATGTCACCTCGTCAGCGTTAGGCTTCGCCATGCCATTCATTGAATTAGTTTTAAATTTAATTTACGTTACTTTCTACTTGAATTAAAATGTTAGTGTCTGCCGCTGATGGATGGGCGAACAGAAGAAAGTCTGAGGTATATACTTATATACATCTCTATGCTCTCTTCAAGTCCGTATGTATCTAAAAATAAAGCAAAAGTATATATAACAGAAGTCTAAGGCATATAAATATATAAAAAAACCATGGTTTTTGATTTTTTACATAACAGGTTATGAATAAAAATTAAAGGCATTTTCTCTTTTATTTAAATAAAGTATTCAATTGTATTACTAATTAGTTAATTAATTAAAAATTGGTATTTTTTCCTTTTAAGTGTATTTCTCAAGTTTTTATATACGAAGAATACAAATATGCATATCAGAAGAAAGGGGATTTAATCGCCTTTACAACGATACCAACCTTTTAAAAATTGGTTAGTAAATTTTTTGTTTAAAATTTTTTTTTATAAAAAAAGGTATTTCTTCCTTTACATGTGTAAATTAATTGCTTAGAAATCAGTTCAAAATTGTTTGCAATATAAGGAATTAAACTTTTCGAAGACCTGAACTTTGAGCCCTTATAGCACCTGTAATATAAGTTTGCACAAAAAAATTATGTACCATTTAAATAAGAGCAAAAAGAGGACTACGTCTGTTTTTTTTTAGGTTTTTAGTTATTTACACGAAATAATTAAATATAATTTTTTACCAAAGGTCCTATTTCGAGCTCCGAAGGCCCATATCTCGATTTCGGAGGCTAACTTCGAGAAACGGAGAAATCACAGTTTTACCTATGACCAGTGGCGGATCCATCGGGGGGTTTTGGGGGTTGAACTACGTGTCAGCCAGTGGCGGACCCACGGGGGGTGTTTTAATATATAGACGCCATATTATGCATACATATCCGCCATATTAAAAAACCCCCCTATGCCTATGACTCAATCTCTTAAAAAAAGTTGGTTTGGTCCTATATCCAGAAAACAAGTCGATTTTGCGGTACAGTGTAATTGAAGAGTTAGATGCAATAAGGGCGCTTCTGTTAAAACTGCTTTTTGAGATATTGGCGTTAAAGTTTTTGATGTGTTATAACTTTCTTGTTGTTGTAGTATATATATGTATATGTAGTAGTAGTATTGAAAAAAAATTGTCTACTGCGGAAAAAATCGTCAGATTACCAGTATTCGACCCTAATTTAACTGTAATAAACGCTTTCGATCGAAAAACGTGTTACCTATCTTTTTTTCTGAGTTACGCTTTGTTTTGAAAATGTTCAGTGGCCCAAATTATGCAAACAAACTCCTTTAAAAATGTAATTTTCTTTTCGTAAAATAGTGTTTTTATACTAGTAGTATTTAGTTCCTTCAAACGATGTATTTCAATGTGCATACATCATGGAAATTTTGTACAAAATTCCTTACGCCGCCGCCTCAGCGCCGATATTTTCGTAATTCGACAAGGGCGACGTGGCTTGGCAGCATCTACCTCTAATACGTAGTTCGTTGTACACAAAAAAAAAAAAAACGAAATCTCTAAACTTTGTGCAAAACTCAGAAAAATCAATAAATTTGCATACTAATTTGCAACTTTCTATTCACATTATTTTAAAATAATTCTAAGTATGCAGTTTTATAGCCCATCTAATTTTGATATAACAAAACACAAGCTTGGAGTTGCTAAGAAATCGCGTTGTTGTGTGGCAATTTCTTTCACTCAGGTTCTTCCATACAAAATATGTTCGACAATTACTTTTTGTAAGGAGAAAATGACAACACCTTCCACTAAAAAAAAAAAAAAAAAGAAAAGAAAAGAAAAAAAAAAGAAAAGAAAAGAAAAGGAAAGAAAAGAAAAGAAAAGAAAAGAAAAGAAAAGAAAAGAAATGACAAATTTGTAGGAAACTCATTTTCCTACAAAAAAGTTTCAGTACACCAAATCGCTAATATAGACATTTCTTGAGATATAGGGCTTTGAAGTTGATCAACAGTTTCTACAATTTAGCTCAATAATCAATGAAAATTCCACATTACCTCAACTTCAAATCCCAATATCTCAAGATATATCGATGTAAGTGATTTCATGTTCCAGAAATTTTTTGTATAAAATTGAATGGCCTACAAGTCTGTCATTCGCAATTTCTCTGTAGCTCTTCTTATTTATGCGATAGGAGCAAAAAAACGGGAATTTAATCAAAATATTTGGTTTGAGCTATTTATGAGATAAGTAAAGTAAATTAAAATGTATGAAGTCAGCTCTTTATAATTATTGTTCCAGAAAAAGATATGCTTCTCTAGTTCGATGTGAACAGCTTGCGTACTTTATTTTTAATCCACCCACAATTGCACAAGCAACTTCTTTATATTCTAAATCTCATTGGAAAGTACCTGTTACTTTGACATCGCATGATTTTGAGTGAACAATAAGTAATAACAATTAACGTTACATATGTATGCAGTTAAGCTGCGCTAAACAATGCACTTATATATATGTAGGTATATGCGTATATATCCCTATGCGAAGGCAAATGAAAAACGTAAGAGAAAACATAAGTGAAATGAATATGTGTGTTCATACTAGGGATGCCAAAATATCAGGAAATTTCGGGATATTTTTTAGGTAATCCCGGGATCCCGCGATTCAAATTGAGTCATCAATTTTATGAATATGAGTAAAAATTCAATATCTGAA